TGCGAACTGATGACGTAACTACGCACACTCGTCTGTTTTGAACTAATTTTCGACACTTAATTTCCATGCTGTTTACTCACTGGAATAGCATAGTTCTATGAGCATTATGGGATTATAACACATCTTCTTTTCGGTTCGCACTCTACTCATTTCTTCGAAACTCTTCAATTGCTCTGTGAAACCTTCTCGTATATTCAGCCCCTTAACTGTATTTATGAGTAGAAACTAAAATTCTGACCTTGCTGACGAGTGACATTTCTCATTAATTACTGCCATAGGGGAGTGCGACGTTGCTGATTTCGTTTGATATGCCCAAAGGAGACACAAAATCTCCCGTACATCTTCTCGAAACTCCGTCACTCCCCTATGGCAGTAATTATGAGAAATGTCACTCGTCAGCAGATCAGAATGTTAGTTCCTACTCACGAATACTGTTACACTGAAAACCCGGTTGTTACCTCTTCGATCCTCCCTGAGCTTGGCTCACCTTGAACTGTTCCCGGCACTAGCGTACACTCCATGTTCCGTAAATCGAGTGAGCGTGACTGTGCACTTCGTTCAAGCATGGTGTGGGGCGCGCTTTTTCGTGCGATTTCCTTTTAAGGCAACTGTCATCCAGTATTATGCTAGATACGATGTGATTACTATAGTCTGATAACGGCAATATCCCAGCGAAAATCCAACCGCCGCCACATTCGAATGACGTGCGCAGCCACGCCCACGCCATCACAGGTATGTGGAGTGTAGCTGGGGGATGTGGGACCACCAGGATGCTCCTCTGCGTTCTCTCCGCTAATCAAGCTTTAGACATGATATTACACTCTAGTTCTCTGCGGACGGTTGGGCGTGTCAGCCAGTATGAGTGTGTCACCCTATCAAAGCCGTTCTCTGCCTTCTTGTTGAAGAGCGCATGCGACAAAAAGTGGTAGAAGACTAGTAATACGAAAGATACGATACAGTATTGCTTCCAAGAATAAGCTCTAGCAATCTGACTGGAACTGGGCCCACGAAAGGAAAAGGACTACCGGTGCGTGTAGCCCACTAGTAGAAATTGTTTGAGTACTATAGAGCGCTGAAATATTTGATTTCCCTGAGTTTTTTCTTGTTAAAAGCCGTTCGAATGGCACGCTTCGGCGAGGCGCAAGAAGCACATGGGCGCAAAGTCTGCAATGGCTTTGCCAATGTGTCTTATTCTACGCCTATGTGTCATATACAATTTATTTGATAATTATTTTTAAATAGATATATCATTTCCATGTTATCAGGATTCTAAAATTTTCCCATCTCTCATTGGAAAGCACCAGAGCGTTGCTAGGTCAGCCGTCGTCTGGTGTAGGGAGTGCACGTGTAGAGAAAGCCATGGATTTCACTGCTGTGTTGAATCGACTGTGCCACCACCTCCGCTGCCAGACAATAAAGTGTGCGTAACTGTTGCCTATTAAGAGTTCTTTACAAGACCTATTCCAACTTCATGTGAAAAGTTTCAGAAGACGTGGTTATTACACACGAAGTGTCCTTTGTGATGCTGTGAAGCAGGTTATGCTTGGAGCAATGACAGTCACTCAGGCTTCTCGTCACTATAAAATCCCCCGTACGACCATCCAGAAACATTTTAGGTGAGCAGCTCAGCATGGCTTAGAACAAAAGTGTTCCATTATTGACCTGCTTGAAGGGTTTGCAGAGCTTCGAGCTAAGGGCAGGGACTGAGGATTTGCGCAACTTGCGTTGCTTCGCGTCCTTCGCCTTTCTAGTTGAGAGGTATCCTTTACAAGTAGTTTCTCTAAAGTTTGACTGAACCTTCATGGCTTCACAACATTTCCGCTGCATAGGTCGACACGACAAAGGGAAGCAGCAAAAAGTGCCGAAAATGCCTTCTCCCCCCGCTCGTCGCCAAACTGCGCCGGATTTCACCATAGTTTTACACTATTTCCTGAATAGTCTTTTTTCATCCGTTTGCTTACAGTAAAGCCCGTGAGCAACACAACCTAAAAGAGATGTATATCCGACGGATGGAAGCTGCCGAGAAAGGATTAATGGGCCGAGTATCTGATAGCGATCTTCAGAAGGCGGCTTTCTGAGCACGGAACGGCGTGTCTTTTATCACATGGAGTGGTAATTTTTGCAGTATTTACTACGACATTTTGAAAACGAGTGGTTATATCTTCGCGCTACTACGCTGACAGCTTCGTTCGAGTCCCGCGTTTGCCGGACTGGCCCGCAGCGAGTGCCACTATCCATTATCCTTGCGCGTTAAGGGAAAGCCCACGTTAGTGGAGGTGCGCGCTTCGAGTCCCGCGGCGGATTGCGGCCTGACTTTTCGCTCCATAACTCAGCATTCTTGCGATAACTTGAATTACGGAGCGCGGACCACGGCGCTAAGCAGCACCTATCAGAATAAAACAAATACTGTCAGCATACTGGGATTGCGTCCTGACTGTAAAATTTCTGTTTAAATATCGCCCTATCTACCTGAATAGAGTATCCCTCGAAAACCATTACGAGACTTAACAAACGTTTTCTTAGGTTTGTGAGCTTCTTCTCGAAATGAGGAAGCTCTTCCTTTTTTTTTGCCCGGAAAAACGTTTGCACACGTAGCTCCTTTCCCTTTGACACCATTACCCGGCTGGTTCACCATAGTCTCTCCTCATTTCTAAGCCGCACTACATGCCCAAACACAAGAAATTCCCCCCGCCCCCCCGACAAATTACGTGCAAACGGAGATATGGAGCTGTTCGGCTTGAAGGGGGCGATCTGCGTTCTCGCAAGTTCCTCTTGTTATCTCATGTTAACTAATAGATCTTCCTGTCAGACATGTAATCTGCTGTGAAGCTGCAGAATTCTTTTTCTGAGCTTCTTTGGTCGTAGCAGTTTACACCATCACATGGTAATAGATCAAGCATCGAGGAAAACAGCGTGGCCGGATTGCAATTGTTAGTTGAGTACCATTCAGTCCTGGGTTCGAATCCCAGGTCGACACCCTCCCGGGCCAACCAAGCCTTCTGCCCTCCGAGGACGGTAAATTGGTAGCAGATTCGTCTGGGAGAGTAAGAACACTGATTTGTACAACGGCTGGCCCCCTCAAGTCATTGTATAGGCCACATCCCATTCAATAAGCCACTACGATTCCCGATGTGGAAGTAAGAATATGCTGCCGCCATCCCACAGAGGGAATTGCATTAACGACGAGACTTATCGCTTTTATCCTTTATCCTTTTACATTCGCGTGGACCCTCATCAAGCCGATCTGCTCCGAAGGCAGTGCCATTTTATAGTTTTACACGTGTGCAACTTCTAATACGACTCTCCTCCCCTACCCCCCCCCCCCTCCCTCCCACGTCGTTAGACCAGACTTCTTTTTACTCGAACTAGCAATAGCTTCTTCTAAAGTTCTTTGTTTTTAGAGGAGATTTGCCAATAAGTTTCGAGGACTCCATCGCAACCGCTTCACTGGCGCAACAACGCTGTGAATAAATCTGATCCGTCTCAAGAAGCCTTCTTTGCGTTCAAGATAATCATTACATTACACCTGCGAAAATGAGATAACTGTAGCGGAACAGTGCGAAGTAAGTCCAAGTATCCCTACACGACTGAAATTTGCAACACGTACAGAAGATTTCAATAAGAAAAGTCATTTGCAGGTTAGCAGTGGTGAAGGGAGACTTTATCAATCATCACGTCCTATTTGTGAGCCAGAGGCAATGAGAAAGCCAAATCCAGGTAAAACAGTCAAGTTCTAGCTGGAGTTTTGGCGTAAATCGGCTGTTGCAGCTCAAAACGTCATTTTTTTGCATTTGGTCTAACTATTTTTCGCCTCTCTACTTTATTTATCGCTTCAGCTGCCGACGTCACAAGCTTCCAGAGTCGCTCCTCTAAAGCAGCCGTAAAGCCATTAACTCGTGTTGTGCTGAGAAGAGAAGGCAGTGAAGAAGTTGTAAAAGTGGTAAGCTATCAGAAATTTTGGTTTTAAGTAAAAGTAGGTCAAACTACAATTTTATATATTGAGTACTGAATTCACCCTTCTCTAGCCTCCCCTTGAGAAATTCTGGATATACATTCGGGAGTAAGTTCCGCCTAGGAAATTCTACCATTGTCGTTTCGTCTCTTTAAACCGCGAAATATCCTACGGAGAGCCACCGCGCACCCGCCGGAAAGCGGCGGCGCCATAGAATTGTCTAATTACAAAAGTCGCTGGAAGAGGCCTTCGGTCTTCCGGGTTCCATAATCACTTGTTTTGCCCCTAAGGCCGCGCCTCCGCGGCCTCCCGTGCGTCTCCGTGGCCTCGCGAATTTTCCAAATCGATACGCGATACTTTGCTTACTCTGAAAAAATTTCCGCGGAGGGCCACGGCAGGCCTCGCTGTGTACGAACGCGGCCTAAAGCGCCCAGCGCCCATCTATTAAGTGTTTGGGTCACAACTGGTCCTAGCGGCCACAGTGCGAGCACCAGACGATTTCGCATCAAGTCGGATGCTATAATCTTATTCAAGGAAATAAACCGTGAGGGACAATTTTTGAGAATGGAACCAGCTCAACTTTCAACATATGGGGCAGAATGGATGAGTGGTGCCATAATTTCTCTAATAAGGATTATTTTCTTTCCTACGAATAGTCTGATAATTCAAATCGGATCCTTTTCAGGTTGTGATACCACGGTTACCCTCGGCTCCTTGAATGCCGATTCTTGAGGTTTTCAGAAATTCCGCTCCCAGCGATATCGTCACATTCGCAAAAGGGTGAGCTTATTGTAAGGTTTTTGTGCAGAAGGTTGTTTATAATGGGTGATTAATAATCCTATTCTTTGCGGATGAAGGGGCGTGTCTGGCGGCATGAGTCTGGCGCAGTGCCCAAGCCGTTGTCCACTTGTTGCTGAAGCGAGCAAGTGGCAAGACAATATCTCATCATTCGTATCACTTGTTTTGTACCAATTGCTGTCGCCACACCCTTCAAAAACTGGCAGAGAATGGGCCTGGTGCCATGGCCCACTCATACTGCCTGACACGCCCCTTCATCCGCGGCGAGCTGGAGTATATAATGGGTAATTCGATATTCGAACTATGAAGTTTGCCTTCACAGGTGATCTTCCCCATATCTCCATCGGGTCAACGAGATGCCGCTTATGATAACCCCCCCCCCCCCCCCCCCCCCCCCCCCCCCCACCCCCTGATAGTTTGCTTAGCCAATACTTGCATTGTGCGTTGTGGAATTGTTTTATTCACCGATATTAGAGCCATAAGTATAGGTTAAATTTACTGGTAGTTCCAAAGAACATTTTTTTGCATTATATGGAACATTGCCAAAGCACCTTAAGGCCTTAATTGAATGCGAGGAGTTCTATAGGCAACACATCTGTTAGTTTCATCAAGCCGTGGGCGTTCGTTCAACGTTCTTATGTTTTTATTTGCTGTATAGTCGCTGAGAATTCTTGAGGCATCGGGGTAAAAACCTTTCCAGGCATATGTCCGATTCCCTGATGTTTCAGACACTTTTCCCGCTTTTCTGGACAAGGTGGTCCTTTTGTACACAGAGATATACCATTCTTGAGGCTTTAAAATATGGGGTCTTAGGATATCTGTCGATAGCAGAGCCTTCCTCCTCTTTCCTTCTCCTTTTTTTCTTCGTTCCCCTCTCTTCCTGTTCCGCATTTCCTCCCTTCAAATGTTCAGCAAGCAGGCGCTACGGGGAAATTCTGGAGCCTCTCGCTGCCAGAGCCAAATACGGGCTGAGAAAAAGCCCTTAAGCAGAAATCCATTCAATTGAGGCGCTGAGACACCCGCTCGTGACGAAAGGTAATGTCCCGTCCACTGCTCCATACCACAGCCAACTTCCATTCCTTTTTCTCATGAGGGGAATTGAAATTTCTGTTAAATATTGTGAGCACACCGAACAACTCGGGCGGATGTCCCGATTTGAAATTATCTGGCTGAAGCTAGGACTCGGTTCCGTGATAAGCATGATACCCGCTCGTGACGAGGGTAATGTCCCGCCCACTGCCCCATACCACAACCAACTTTCATTACTATTTTCGCTTGAGGAAAGTTGACATTTCTGTGAAATATTGTGAACACACGAACAACTTGGGCGGATGTCCCGATTTGAATTGCCTGGCTGAAGTCTGTTGCGAAACCAAGGGACGCAGACGGATAGAGGACAGCACCTGCCAAAGAATAGAGACTGCAAGGAACTATGGCGAGCCAGGGAACAAGCCTTTTTTTAAGGAGAGGGGACTCCTTGATGGGTGAGTCACTATCATGTGGGAAAATGACCATGGAGTGCCACGCTGACGATTGAAGGAGAGGAGCAGCAGCAGAGCAAAAAAAAAACAAAGTCGCAGGCAAGGCGGTTCAGGTGGATAAGAGGTTATTCTTCATGGAGTGATGGTTAACGCACTCGATCAGTAGATAAGAGATGCAAGGCGAATCCTGCCTGAGGTCTATATCTACCCATAAATCAAGACCCTCGTGGTTCTTTAACACCTTCTCGGCTGTTTCACTGTTTTATGCTGATCCATTCTGTTGAGCCGTGCAATAACCTTTATGGGTTATATTCGATATTATGAACGTTTTTGTATCGTACGTGAACATTTTCCATGTATTATAAGTTGGGTGTGAGAGCCGTTTTAACTGTGTTGTTTGAGCTGTTAGAATTTCTAAGCATGATTTTGCTTTTAGTGCCAAAAAATGTGATTTTTCTTGCTGCTAATGGCTAATGGTATTTTGTGCATTAATGTTGTACAGCTTTATGGTGCTCTATAATAAACCGTGCTATTGAAAAAAATTTGTGAATAGAGGTGTGTTTATTCACCAGAAGTATTGTTTTGTAGCTATTTCGGAATTGCTGCTCGTTACCTTTTTTTAAGCAGAAAATTTTGCTTTCCTTAGAAACTAGGGATATGTCGGCAAGGAGAGCAGCGAAGGCATTGGTGAAACCTGAACTGTATCCTCTTTACTTGTACAAACGTATATTGAGGTGAGCAGTTTCGAATGGTTCTGCTTTTAGTTTTTAAATTTGTTTAATTGCTTACCCTCCTCCTCCCTCTATGATGTCACCGTCCTTATGAGCTGCCTCCCGTTGTCCTTGTTTCATAGTCTTTTTTATGGGCCCTTGGAGGGTCTTGTGACGGCTAAAACTTTAAGTGCAGGTCCCAGCGCGAAAGGCCCGAGCGCAAAGTATAGGACTGCAGGTGCCAAGGTATCGAAAGTTGCAAAAAGCATATCGCGAGGTAGAACACAAGTTTCTCCGGCAAAAGGGACTCTGGAGTGGATGAGCCACTCATCATGCGTGAAAAGTTGGAATCGTACTGTCAGAGAATGTCATGCATACGTAAGAGCGCAGAAAACCTCTGACGCGGTTGAAGGGACTGGGTTCAAGTTGTCTTCAGACCGTCTTATAAACCCTTTTTAGGGGTGTTGTTCACCTGCATCACCTGTTATCCCGTTGTCTATCGTACTTGAGCGAGCGGAAGTAGCGTCCCATTTGTCCCTGTCGCGAGCCAGGGTAGCCTAATGGATTCAGAGGTCAAGCAGGGCTTTCCATTCCTCTGTTGCTGTGTTTGCGTAAAAGGAATGTGGTTATTGGGATTAAAGGTAAAAGATAAAAGGTTTTCCACTAGATCTTCAAAACCTTGATAGGGCAGCGTCCTTGATCTTCGAGTGTCGACCGAGTTTGGAACACTGGATTCCCCTTCAAACTTGCATGTCGAGAAACCTCAAGCATTATCTTCTCCACAAATGAATGGCACTGATTTCATGCTTATCATGCTTGGCAGAGTCTTAGCCCTAGTTACTGAGGCGTAGGAAGGACTGTAGAACTGAAGAAGTGACGACACAGCCAGATGCTCTTCGTATCCTTCATTACTGCCTTGATGTTCTTGAATACTGCCCAAGCAGCTCGTTTTCTCTGCTTAATTCGGAAGCCTGACAGGAGTTTGGATTACTTGTGAGAGAAAGCGAGTAAACGCCAACTACCTTTCCAAACGCTCTGAATGAAAGTATATTCGCTACCAATCGGCGCGAATCGGTTAAGGAGTGAGAAGAATGCAGCCCTAGATGGAGGGAAAGAGTTCGGTGGATCTAATCTACATTCCAGATTGGTCAACACCGATACTTAACTTTCACGGAGTTCACTTCTCACTTATCCTCCTGCCCTATACAGCCTCTATAGTAGAAAGTCGTTGGATAGAATGCGCGCTCCCGGACGTAAATATGAATGTACGTAAATAAATAAATGTTAATATGAACTGTTTTTTTATTAAGGCTTCACTGTGGTTTACCAGCACCAGCTCGGTTGATGGGTGATCCATACGTGAAAGACGAATTCCGTCGACACAAGGACGCTAGTCCCGAACACGCTGCCATATTTATTAATGAATGGACGGTGAGTTAAACCATAATCACGGGTAATACATGATTACCGTGCATTTTGTCGAGGCTTTATTTTTTCAAGGTCCTTTCACGTTTCCTTATTGCGATTCGAAGGTTATATAAGGAAAAGTGTTGTTCTTTTTTTGTTCAAAACGCTGCACCAACGTTTCAGCGAAAAGCCATAAAACTATTTTCAAACGTTATTTGTTTTTATATCCTGGTTTTTTCACATTTGGTCAGTCAATTGTGGTGCGAATGATGAAAACGTGGAGTTCCTGCCCAGCGTCGTCCGCAACGTGGATCGAGCCATCTCAATCGACATCAAATTCCCATTCGCTGTCAGGCCATAACTCTAACGCACCTAACCAGTTTTTTTTGCTTCTTCGGCTGCCTTTTAATGGTCTTCCCATATGCTGGGTCAAAAGGTACATATCCCACCCTATATCCTCTACTTGTGCTTTCTTACTCCAGTGCGTGCCGTCTACAACACATTACGCGGGGCATTCTGCGATGGGCATGAGGCATTCGCTTGGACGCGCACCCGGTGGGGGTGGGAAGGGGAATTATGCTTCCCACTCATGGTCGGGCCCATCTGGGATTACATGTTTTAGTTGGCTTTTACCATTGATCAGATGAGTTTGTCCCATTCCCAGCTTCACAAGAGCTAAGAAGTTTCACCAGAGTGAGACTTATAAAACGGAAGTAGTGATGCAGTGAAAGTGCAAAATTCCCCCATTGCCGAACTGCGCCCTTTCCTCGTACTAATAGAAAAACTAGGATCATGTTTCATCACGAATACGCTAGCAGCGAAAGGGGCTCCATGGACGTTGATGAAGGCGAGGGGAAACCTTCCTCTGGACTCGTGGCTCACCGGGATGCCGGGGAACTCAGCGAATGTTTCCATCCGCTCTTCCCGTGATGTCTTTCGATTCTCCCCGTAGCACAAGAATGCTGAGTTATGGGCAAAAGTCGAACCCCAGGCGGGAGTCGAACCCGCACCTCACGCTTTCCGGGCGAGTGCGCTATCCGTTACGCCACCAGGGCCGCTTTTACCCTCTCAGCTTAACGGCTTTTATGCCGTAGCCTTACAGCACTCACACGTTTAACTTGGTGAGCCGGTCAGCCGTAATCGTTAGATATCGGCAATGAACTGCTAGGCCGAAGGTTTTAGCTCTTACCGTAGCATTCCTGAAAGCCGCATATCTTCGGTGAACTGTAGGATAACTGAACAGAGTCACGTTGATCCAGCGGCTGAGCCACATCCAGTCTTGTTTGCTGCGGATGATTGGGCGTGTCGGAGCCGTGGGAGACGGGTTTGCGCAGAACCAGTCCGTTTTTTTTTCTTTTTGTCTTTTTGCGAGCGACAATACTATATCATAATGCTAGCATCATTCATTTTCCAATTGTTCTCACTTACCCGCTTCAAGAGCTGATGTAGAACGGGCTGGCAGGATGACGCGCCCCCTCATCCGCTGTGAATGAAGCTTTATTATAGACCTGTGCCACCTGAGAAATCATTTTTCTGCCCGAGGTTATATACATTACTAATATAATAGTTCATGTTCAGAATTATTGTGTGACTCTGTCGAAACAGTTGTCCACATCCGGTATCGTCAAAGGATTTATTGGCAAGGTGAGTTTGTGCGCGCTTCCCTGCTGCAAAGGTTTTCGACAGAGGTGTTTCAGGACTTGGAACCGGAAAAACTGGACAGTTTCGCTGAAGAGCAACTGCGGCAATTATTGGAACTTAAGCTTGAGTCCGAACGAATGAAAGAGGCCGCAGAAGGACAGAAGGAAGGATTGGATGAGCCTGTCAACCGGTCGGAAAATTAGAGCAACCCAATGCCATCGCATAATTTGTTTAGTGTTTCCATGTTTCGGTTGGCTAGCGCATTGAAAATTTGAAATCTCGTAGAATCTGCAGAGGTACGGTTCCGTTTACAGCATTGTGAAATAGGTGACTTTCAACCTCAATTGTTTCGCCTGCCTTCACGTTTATGTTGAGATTAGGATCTCAGAACTGGAAGGCTTTAGTGAACACCTAGTCAATTCAATTGAATATTCATATATTAGTGAAAGAAGAGGGAACTAGTGTCGAAAACCTTTTCGATTTGTAAGAGAAGCAATCTTTTTGGTGGCTCAGTCTACTCA